GCGGGCACCTCCCGCGGGGGGCGCTGCGGAGAAAATCGGCCCCGACCAACCCGGAGTGCCAGCGCATTGAAGACATCAGGACGGAGGTCTGTCGCTGTTCTCGGCCTCTGCAGGCCTTCGCCGGGCCCCGGGACCCTCAAGAAACGACGCAGGATAAGAAACCGGTCCTGGGGACTGGGTCGAGACTTCCGGGGGCCCCGCACTGAAGAATCACGGCGACAGATCTTTTGGAATGCAAGACCCGCGCCTCCGGGCGCGGGGGCGTGTTGGCACCAGAGGGGCCCCAGGTCGCCCACGACCATTTCTGGAGGGCCGGAGCCCGCAGCAGCCGCGCCTGGCAGGGCCGATGCAGTCGCCCCCCCCCCCCCCCGCCGCGCCCCGTGGAGGCGGCGAGCGGGGTGCGGCCCGCCCGCGCGGGGGATGGGGGGGGAGTTTTTTTTTTGTTTTTTTTTTTTTTTTTTGTTTTTTTTTTTTTTTTTTTTTTTTTTTTGTTTTTTTTTTTTTTTTTTTTTTTTTTTTTTTTTTTTTTTTATATATATATATATTTTATATATAATATATATATATATAATATATATATATTGTAAAAAGGGGGGTTGGGGGGCCAGAAACTGGACAAACAGGCGGCGGCGGAGGAGGCAGCGCACAAGGAGGCGGTCGAGAACCTGGTGCAGGCGAAGGCGGCCGTGGAGGAGGCGGCGGCAGTCCTCGAGGCGGCTCGCCAGCGCCAGGCCGAGGGCCGCGAGGCGTTGGAGCAGGCCGAGCGGATGGAACAGGCAGGGCTGCCGCCTGGCTCCAACTCGGCCCGATATGCGAAACTGCGAGAAGGCGCTTGCGAGAATGCGAGAAGGCGGGGTCAAGAATGCGAGAAGGCGCGTGCGATAATGTGAGAAGTCCCGCGGCAGCCCGCACAGGGCGCGCCTCTGCGCACGCCGCTCCAGTTCCAGTTCCAGTTCCAGTTCCAGTTCCAGTTTGGACCCGTCCCCCTTCCCTCCGGGACAACCTGGCCTTGTCGGTGGCGCAGGCCCGACGGGGGTGCGCAGTGCTGGTTCGCGCAGGCATGCGTGGGGCTGCCCAGAGCGAAAAAGTCAGGCAATCGGCCCGCACTTCAGCCCCTGTCTCACTTTTTCTCCCCCCTTGGATCACCCGGGCTACAGTCGAAACCCATGCCAAGAAACATCCTGTTTGCCTCCAGGTTTTCTTGGGTTTCTTAGGTTTCGATGGTTCTGCTGCGGAACGCGTGACGTTCCCACAACAAAGATCAATGGGCGCTCTGGGGTTCCAGGGTTGGGTTTCTTGTGGCAGGTTTCTTGTGGGCTGGCCTCCACTTTATCGCCGAAAAGTAACAAAAACGATTTCGAGGTCCGCCAGAGCCAGCTGCAGCTCGTAGGCGTGGCCGCGCTCCTGATCGCGGCCAAGTTCGAGGAGGCCGCCCCGCTGAGCGCCGAGAGCTCGGGGAGGGCGGGCGGCGTGCACAGAGGCGGGGGTTGGCGCGGAGAGGGGCGGCCTTGTCGGTCTCCTTCCCCTCCTCCTCCTCCTCCTCCTCCTCCTCCTCCTCCTCCTCCTCCTCCTCCCTTCTTCCTCCTCCTCCCTGCCTCCTCCTCCTCTTCCTCCTCACTTCCTCCTCTTTTTCCTCCTCCTCCTTTTCCTTTTTCTCTTCCTTTTTCTTCGCTTCCTCCTCCTCGTTCCCTTCCTCCTCCTCCTTCCCTTCTTCCTCTTCCTCCTCTTCCTCCTCCTTCTCCTTATCGATAACTTTTCTCTGTCGCCCCCCGAGGCCAGTCTTTAGGGCAGGCCGGGCGTTTCGCCTCAGACTTCCTCACCATGTATGACCCTGAAGCTTAAACGTTGGCAACCGTTTCACACATGGAAGGCGGGCCGTTTTCAACATGTGGCTCTCGCCTTAGCGCCGCGCGCACTCGTTTCAAACATTTACAATGGTTTCACGGATTGAGGGCGGGTCGTTTTCAAAATGTGGCTCTCGCCTTAGCGCCGCGCACATTCATTTTAAACACTTGGGAACGTTTCACGGATTGAGGGCGGGTCGTTTTCTAAATGTGGCTCTCGCCGTAGCTTTGCGCAAATTCGTTTCAAACATTTGCAACAGTTCCACGGATTTAGGGCGGTTCCATTTCCAAATGTGGCTCTCGCTTTTAGCGCCGCGCGCATTCGTTTCAAACATTTGCAACAGTTTCACGGATTGAGGGCGGATCGTTTTCAGAATGTGGCTCTTGCCTCAGCGCCGCGCGTATTCTTGTTAAACAGTGGCAGAGTTTCTCGGATTCCCAGGATCGGCGTACCAGAAATGGTGTTTTGGAAGGGTTCGCGATTTTGAGGGCGCAACATTTACGATGATTCGTTGAGCTGAGGTCGCAGAAATGGCGTTCTGGCACGATTCAGGGTCGTCAGTACGCAACAATCAGGTTCATCCGTGTCGTTGGAATACAGAGAATACTGTTTTGGCATGCTTCACGTCTTTAAACGGTTGTTTTCCAACGGGGCAGGTCCCTCTGTGGAAATGAGCCGTTGTAGGGGCCTGTGAAGAGGGACCTTGGGGGGAGGGATTCTTCCATCATTGTTGGTGACTCTTGGGTTTACACTGGTCCTCTTCCTCCTCCTCCTCCAGCAGTTCTGGCCCAGGATGCCTGCGAGCTCCTACGGCCCCCCCTGTTCGTTGCGCCAAGTGTGAGCATCGCGCTTCGGGTCTGCGCAGCGGGACTGGGGCGCTCGGGCACGAGGAAGCACGTGCATAAGGAACATTCTGTTTCATCATCTCCAGTTTGCTGATTTCGCGAGGCTGGAGATGTTTGGGAACACGTGCAAAACTGGCATCGTGATTGCGACAGGTACGCAAAGGAACGCCAACGCTGGACCGCGATGTCACGCAGTGCCAGCTTCTCCATTACAAGGCAGTGCAGCTTGGGTGGAGAAAGGGGCGGGCCACGAATCGCAGTTGTGGTATGGCGGTGATGCACAGCGAACGGCTGTATGGCACGGCTTCTAACATCCTGGCGCCGCCCCGCGCAAAAGGACGATCATGCAACACTGGCATGACAAAACTTCGTATTGGATGTACGAGTGTTGCAGTGTTTCCCATATATATATATATATGTATGTTTGCATATATGTACGTGTGTATATATATATACACCCAACAGGAACAGCAATCAATATAAATAATGCTGAACACAATGGATGCCATGTTGAGCTGAATTCAGACAGATCTCGACCGTATGGGAGGCTCAACTGCGGCATCGGCGCGAGGACGGACATTACTGGACGCAACATGTAAAACCAATCGATGAGGTAGGAATTGCTGATCCCGCATTAGAGTCCAACGTGTCAGCTGTGATCGGATATTCCCTGGAGCCCAACAGTTTGGCAGTTGCTGGCAGTTTTTGGGCACCCGGCGCCACGTTCTTTCAGGGAGCCCATTGAAGCAACATCGACCACCTCATCATTCCAAAGACCGCAGTACTGATAATATAACGGCTGCGCACACTGCATGGGGGGTTCAGGTTTCTCGCATTGAGCCAGACAGCCGTGCCGACCAGTTTTGTTTAACTCGCTTGGGCTTGTTGGCATGGCCGCTGCCAATTTTTACAGCAGGAGGGGAGGTGGCAGCAGCACTCTAGAGAGGCAACCGTAATTCGTGCGATTATGTGTATTCCTCGCCAGAGGGCGGGAGTGATGCACCTGAGCGTGATAAGCCCTCGCCCATCTTTCCGTGGAATCTTCCAGTGGGATCCAGTGCTGGAGCGGGTCCGAGAGGTTTTATGAATTTATGAGCCATAGGGTCCCGTAGGCTACCCATGCAAAGCCGAATGAACTTGCCAGCAGCAATCCGCTCGGCAATAAGTCGAGTAGCGCCTCCTCCCGACACGAGATGAGGACATCCGAATTGCCGAGGCTTCCGTCTCCTCCTCCTCCTCCTCCGCCCAGAGGTGACGGCCGCCCACGACGCAGGGGTGATGTATTCTCAGGAGGTGAAGGCCAAGGGCAAAGGCCACCACTTCGCTCCTCTTCACCTACATATCTTCAACTCGTTCGTCGCCAGATTGCTGGAGTGTGGAATCGCTTTAGGCCAGAGGACCTCGGCCGTCCTGAAGCTGTGGCACGAGAAGGTGTTGTGCGAGCTGCAGCCCGAGGATTTGTGCGACATGCTAGCTCTCTTTCGTGTCATGAAGTGCTCCGACCAGAGCCAGCGGAATATTCACCTCATGTTGAGGGACGTGCCGACTCCGACGCCGCCGCCAGAGTCCGACGAGCCGCCGCTGCCTTCCCCGATTCAGGTGCGCGCTCTTCTGGCCAGGGCTTTGGCCGAGATCGGAGGCCGCACGGCCCGGGGCGCGGCGCCTCCAGGGGGGCATGGGGAGGAGATCATACAACACGCGGTGGGCGCAAAAGAGGGCGGCGCCAGCTGAATGTGTCGTGTGTGTGACTGGCTTGTGCCGCCCCTTCGGATGTGAAGTGGCTGCGGGGATGGACGTCACTGATTACGTGTCTTGCTGGCCCCTCCCCGACGGCTGCTGCTGGCTGCTGGACTCCGGCGGAGCTCGACTCCGACGGCGCTGACAGGTTCGACTCCCGGAGCTGCCCCCTTGTACACCTCAGGCGATGCTTAAGAAAACCTAAGTTTTCGTCCAGAGTCTCGATTATTCTTGACTTTTCAATGTAAATCCCAAGATGTTGATAGAAATTGTTGACGCTTCGCGTATCCCCACCAGCCCATCCAGAAACGATGCTCAGGGGAGTTGAGGTGATCAGGGAAGTCGGGGAGCATGCAGAATAACAAAGGGCGGGGGAAGCTGTCACAGACCCCGAGAGGGGGAGGATGGAAGAGGAGTCGTCGTCGTCGTCGTCGTCGTCGGAGGAGGAGGAGGAGGAGGAGGGGGAAGAGGAGGAGGAGGAGGAGGAGGAGGAGGACGGAGAAGGAGGAAGAATCGGAGGAGGAGGAGGAGGAGGGGAAGGAGCTTCTTGGGGGTCTTTTGAGGGCCTCTTGGAGGGCTTTTTGGGCGCCTTGGGGCATCTTGGGCGCCTCTTGGGACCCTCTTGAGGCGCTCTGGGGAGCCTTCGGGGCGCTTTTGGGGCCATCTTGGAGGGAGTCGATCAAACAAGAGGGGGGGTTTAATTAGCGTCCCCCCTCGGAAGCCCCTAAAATCGCCTCTTGGACCCCTCTTGGAACGCTCTTGGAGTGCTCTTGGGCGCTCTTGGGGCCGTCTTGGGGCTCTTTTGGGGCTCTCTTGGGGCCCTCTTGGGCCATCTTGGAGCCATCTCCAGGCCTCGGATAGCCATCGGAAGCGAAAAGGCGAGAAAGCAAAAATCATTGATTTTCCTTAGGTTTTGGGACGATTTTGGCCTCTTCGGGGCCTCCTTGGGGAGCTGTTTGGCCACTTGGAGTTATCTTGGGGCCGTCTTTGGGCTTCTTGGAACCATCTTAGGAGCCATCGTGAGCGATCTTGCGCTATCTTGAGCCATCTTGGAGCTCATCTTGGGTTCTCTGAGGCGCTCTTGGAGCCGTCTTGGGCCATCTTGGACGCTCTAACTACCCGCGGCCCCCCCCGTCCAGGTCCAGGGGAGGGGGTAGGGGGAGGGGTAAACCCCTCCCCAAGGGGGAAGAGGGAGGGGTGGAAGAGGATCTGCTCTAGACCACCTACGCCCAGAGGGCTGGTGGGATTCTGGGTTTTATTTAGTTTCTGAGACTATGAATTTCTTAACCCATGATTCTATAGGCTTACGCCACATCCGCCGACCCCTTGTTTTTTTGTGGAGGAGGAGGAGAAGAAGGAGGAGGAGGAGGAGGCGAGGCGGGGAGGGTGAGGCGGAGTGGAGGACGCGAAATCGATAATTGAAGGTGGGGTCGGGGGCCTCTTGGGAGCTCCGGGAGCGGAGATGGTTCGAGGAGCGGGGAGGGGCGACGAGGAGGTGGATATCACGGCTGGGGCCGTGAGATCTTCCCAGATCTCATCGCCCTCGCACCTTTTGCTGTCTTTACCGTTCCCCTAGCCCCTTCTCGGCCGCGCACGCGCCTCGGGCCCTGATCTGCGAACTCTCCTCTTGGACGCTCCCCTCCTGGAACAGACCTGAGTCGGCGCGGCCGCGGCGACGGCCGAGCCCGGCCGACGACGACGACGACGACGACGACGACGACGACGACGACGACGACGACGGACGACGGACGACGGACGACGACGAGGACGACGACGACGACGACGACGACGACGACGACGACGACGACGACGACGACGACGACGACGACGACGACGACGACGACGACGACGACCGACGACGACGACGACGACGACGACGACGGACGACGACGGACGACGACGACGGCGGCGGCGGCGGCGACGGACGACGACGGCGGCGGCCGAGCCGAGCCGAGCCGAGCCGCGTGCGCGCGCGCGGCCCTGCCGCTTCAGAGGCCCGAGCCAGGGCGGCGCGCGAAGCTGTGCGGGGCGGGCGGCAGCGGCCGCGGCCCGGGGGCCGGCGCCGCGCGCCGCGCGTGCGCGCGCCTCGTCTCGGCCGCCGCTGTCGCTCACGTCGCCGCCGCCGGGATGGATTCGGAGTCGATTTCGGCCGATCTCCGACGTCTCGAACAAATCGAGACAGAGGTTTTTGGCAGTTTGCGGGCGCTGGGGGCCCTCAACGGGCCCCGGGGCCGTCAAAAAACTACCCGGGATGAAAAGACGGTCCCCGGGAAGTGGTCGAGGGGTCCAGGGGCCGCGCATTGAAAACGTCAAGACGTCGGACGTCTGGGTCTGCCACGGAGTGCACGGTTCCCAGACCTCCGATGTCTTGACTTAGGAGTGTGTGTGTGTGTGTGTGTGTGTGTGTGTGTGTGTGTGTGTGTCTGTGTGTCTGTGTCTGTGTCTGTGTCTGTGTCTGTGTCTGTGTCTGTGTCTGTGTGCTTGTTTTGTCGGCAAGGGCCATCGGGGAGCATCTTGGGGGGTCACCGTGCGGCCGAAGCAGACACGGGGAACGGACGTCCGAGCGACAGGCCCGGGAAGAAGTTAGGGAACAGTCATGCCACACTCATCTGTCGGGGGAGCGTAAGACCCGGGTTTGCCAGGACTCGGGTTCGCCATTGTTTTTTGACGACCGCGACTCGGATTTTGACGAGTAGGAGTTTCGTGGGATGTCTGCAGCGGGAGGCCTCGTCAAAATGCAGGCTCGGCCTCGCCATTTTTTTGACGACCTCGTCGGGGATTTCCGAGTCCCCTGTACCCGGGTCTTACGTCCCCCTGAATTTGCCAATGCGCCCCCCAAAGATCAATGTTGGCGGTGGGCTGGATGAGTTGCACTTCGGCCGCAGTCTTCCCCGCGCGCGCCAGCTTCGAGTTCTGGGCGGCGGGGGAGTGTTCCCCACTCCGAGTTTCTAAGTGGCGTCGCAGGGGCGTCACTCCCGCCCACATCGACCCTCGTCGCGGGCAGACACCGCGCGCCGAAGGCGCTCCGACCCCCGTCGCGTCGCGACAACGAGGCGAGGTTGACTTCCGTCGGGGGAATACTCTCCCACGCTTGTTATTATCAGGCGATCGCAAACATGGACCAAAGGGGCGTGGATTAGCGACGGGTCCCGTTTCCACAGGAATTCGCGGATTTACGCCGCCGAGCGAGGGAGTACTGGCCGCATTTCGGGGAGGGCACCTCCCTCAGAAGGCAGCCGTGCTTCACCTCCACGCCAAGCCAGGGCAACCCTCCTCGGGCTCGGCAGGGCGTGTACAGATGCGCCCTCCCGGCCGAGGCGCCAGGGGGGCGCGCGTGCACACCGTGCCGCTGCCCAGGTGGGCTATGGCCCGGCAAGGTGGTGGCGTGTAGGCGCCTGCGGCGTAGGACATGCCCATGCGAGGCATGTCGGCGACGAGGAGTGTGGAGGAGGGCGAGGAGGAGGAGGAGGAGGAGGAGGAGCAGAAGGAGGAGCAGGAGGAGGAGGAGGAGGAGTAGGAGGAGGAGGAGGGAGGGGGGGAGGGGGAGGAGGAGGGGTCGACGAGGAGGGGGAGGAGGGGGAGGGAGAAGGAGGAGTCAGGCAGGCCCGGGATGAGGGGGATTCGCTCCAGAGTGTTCCGGCACGTTGTAGAACGGCCGCGGCGCCCGGTGCATTCTCCAGATTTGCCAGCGCTCAGAGTTTCTTGCGATTTGTCCTCATCCGGACTTGCTTTCATCCTGCCCTCGTCGTGAGACAGGGGGCCCAGGCATCTGGTACATCGGAGAATCGAGGCGGATGGTTTGTCTTTCTTTTCGTGTCGTGGAAGCCAAGTTCGGGCCTCCGGACGCCTCAAACCAGCTTTGCGCTTTACGTGGCATCGCTCGGACGTGTGCGCGTCATCTCAGCGAAACCCATCGAGGAGCAGTTTGGGCCATCCTGCGAAACAGTGCACGTACGAAACCGAGCAAACGGACGTCCGAGCGAGGGCAAGCTTGGAGGTCCCCACGATCCAGGCGCGAACGGAACTGTGGAACACTCCGGGTCGACACCCGCCTGGCAGGCGAAAGTACAGCCTTTGCTAGATTAGGGGAACGAACAGTGACATAAACATAAAAACTCGGAGGTCCGCGCGGATTTCTCGGATCGGCGCCGGGGCCCCCCAGCGGCGCCTCCGGCGCCGCCCCAAGAGGATGACGGCTAATAAATGACCGGGGGTCGTGTTCACGCGGCGGTGCCCAAGGTGACGATTAGGAAAAACCGGCCCCGGGCTGGAACACTATTTGTTTAATCGTTCTCCTACAGACAGAAAATTGTGCAGAAATCGCAGAAGCTATGTTTTTTATCGTTCTTTCCAATCGCAAAATTTTTAATTAGTCGTCATCCCGCAGTAGATCGAGACGGACATGGGACTCCGAGCAGAGACATGCCCACCGCCCCGAGCGGCCTGCTGCCCGGGAGGCCCTGGGTCCGTGGGTCGCGCCCAGTCGTTGACCCGCTCTGGGAGGCCGAAGGGCCATGCCCGCCTACATCGTTCAGGAGTGGGAAAAAACACACACACACACACACACTCACAGACACCATGAATCGTCGAGGGGGAACAAAAACACCCACACACACGCACAGACATACACACACACACACCCACACCCACACACACACACACACACACACACACTTACACGCACACACGCACCATGAATCGTCGATTCCCCAGAAAATGATGGGGAGATATGGGAAGTGTGGGGGGGAGACAAACACCCAGAACATGTAGGAAAATATATGGAATCTGGTTATCTGTGTGTGTCTTTATTTGTGTGTGTGTGTGTGTCCCAGGGGCCCTTCAATCGTGTTGATCATGGGGCTCTGGCAAGAGGAACGCCCACCGCCCCAAGCGGGCGTCACGCCTGAGAGGTTCCCCCAGTCTGGGCGTCAACTGGCCCGTGGAAAACGCGCTTGGTCGACGCCATTGTGGGAGGCCTGAGCGCAGTGCCTGCT